CCCCAAAACCCCAAAACCCCATTAGGCTTAAAATTAGAAATCTATTAGAATGATGCATGATGTAATTAAGAATCTTAATTAATAGTTAAATAAAAAATTGAATCCTTTGATTCAGAGGAAATTATCCTAATCAAGGTACACTCAAATCAAATTATTAATGAAAGCAAAAATTGTAAATTAGAACCAGGAGCAGTAAGTAGAGGCTCTCATCAATTATGTTGAGCAACTTGACAAAGCTAAAGGAGCAAACAAATTTCTTGAGTTCCTTGAGTCGATCAATCCTTCTTTAAGATCTTAAAATATTGGTAATGAAAGTAGAAAAACTCTGAGATGAAATCAGAATTCATACCTTAAATAAAGATGAATCAATACATAATTTGAGCAGTGTATTAAGAAAAAATCAGAATTGGAGGAAGATAGATTATTATATGATAGATTTGCTAAGGACAAAAATATTCTTGAAATAACAGAGTAATAGGTTAGATTAATTGAAAATGATGCTTTTAAAAGGGCTAAGGAATAGAATAGATTCTAAAGTAAAATAGTTACAAAAAAAGTATCAAGAGTTAGAAGTCTGCTTAAACTAGATGGAGATGAGTCAGAGACAGAATTGCCTCCTGCAATGAAGATTATAAGACCTAAAATATCTGACTAAGAATTTTTAAAGATGTATTAGCAGAAAAACAACATTCATAGTTAAGATAGAGAGAGTGCCATCAACATTGCTATGAACATAACCATGCCAAAGTGAAAGAACTTTTATGAGCATCCAATTTTTAATAAAAATATACCAATAGAAAATGAATTGAATCTCAACAAATAAGAACTTTTTTCGCTCTCTTAAATAAAAGAGCAGGACTACGTCAATCAAACCTACCCAGCTTATGATGACTAAATATTCAACAAGAAATTGCAAGACGAAATTTAAAAACAAAGGTAGAAAGATTAAAAACTAGCAAAGTTAATGAAAAAAACATAGTTAAATATGAACATTAATAGTGAAAGCAGAAATCGATTAAGCACCTTAAAAAATTCAATATAAGGAAAGGAACTATAATTAGAACTGAGCAAGATACAATTATTTGCTCTGGAGAGTGAAAGGTTAAAAAACTAGAGGAATTAGTCTGAGCGAGATAGCTATTAATTGAAAAATTTGTCAAAATTAAGTTAGTAGGTATATGAGATACCTAAGATTAAATTAAAGAAGTTATTCAGCCAAAAAATTAAAGAACTAGAATACCTAAAGAAAAATAGATAAATTGCCTTATTTGACGTCGATAACATTTACTCAACAACAAATCTACTTTAATATTCAAAGCATTAACGAAATAGATCAGAGCTATTAGCTCCAATTAATCAATACAATTCTTTTGAGTAAAGTTATAACATGAATCAAGAGCATAGTCTACAAGAGAAACTATAGAGTCAAATTAAATCAATAAAAATTAGCAATTCAAACCATTTTTAAAGGTTTAACTAGAATAAAGATTATAGGCATGAAATCAACTAAACCTAAATTAATGTATCACAGGACGCAAATAACTTTGATTATTATAATACATAATTTGATCAAAAAGTACTGTAATGGTGCAGTAATCAGCTTAAAGACATCAAATATGAGGATCAAAGGGCAGATTATTTTGCCTTAAAAAAGAATTTTATAAAGAAAAAATATTGATTGCTATATTAAGAAAAATTAGTTTGTACTTGTACCAAAAGCTTCGCTATTGAACTAATTCGATTAATGTAAATTGATAATTGTATTTCTAGTAAGGAATATTGAAGGTGGGGTTTTGGGGTTTTGGGG